TCTGGGAACATCTGTTTTCACCCAGTCCCTGCCCAGTGCTGGGGGCACAACCTAGGGCCTCGCACATGCTAGGCAAGCGCTCTACCACCAAGCTGCCCCCAGCCTTGGTTTGCCTTTTGTCCCTGGAATGGTGGATGCCTGTTTGGCTGGTCCTGTTGGTTTCTTACCTCGTGTCCGTCCTGCTCTGCTGTGGCTTAAGCAACACTGGCTTTGCTGGGGCCGTGGCTTGTCCTTCATCAGGTCATGAGTGGTGGGTGATTACGCTGGTCTTGGAGTTCTCTCTTCCACTCTGCTCCCTGTGGCTTTCTGGGCTTACTCATCCTTGCTTCATAAAAGGGGTGGTAGAGCTGGCTTTCTCCTGTCCCCTCTGAGATACTCAGAGTTGTGATAGTCCTCTGTGATGGTGAACTAGGGGTCAAGAGTGAAGATTTTGGCCTGATGGGGCCTATGAGCCTGCTCCCTACTTCTGGTCTAGTTATGAAAAAAAGGTGTCCTTGATTTACAAGGAGTCTGGGTGCTGTGGCTGGGCTATTTCTCATTGAGTGGCGTTTTGTTTGTTGTGAGGATGCTTCACGCTGGTGACATGCACCCACCCAGGCTCTGGAGGACAGGAGTTACTCGGTGTCCTCCATCCTCAACAGATGATCCTGTTATGGTCAAAGAACAGACCCTGACTCACTGCCCTGAGCGTCATCTGGTTGCAAGCCACAGAAACCCTTTCCACCAAAGGTACTTTTTGACTGTAGTAACTTGGAAACCCAGGAGTGAGTGGAGCTGGATTCTGGGGCCCCAGGTCTCCCCAGATCTGTTTCTGTCTTGCTCAGCACAGCCTCTGTGTGGGTAGGGGGTCTTTCCAACTGGGGCCTCTCTACATGATAAAGAGAAAAATGGCCCCATGTGGGTCCAGGTTTGCGGGACCATTTAGGCTTCTGCTTCTAGAACGAGGGTCAGCAGAGTTCTCTTTCGGGCTCAGGTAGACCTTGTAGACTCTGGGCCAGGCGGTTTCAAGAGCAGCTACACGCTCCTGCTGTTGTAGCCGGAAGGCAGCCACAGACGAGACGTGAGCAAATGGGAGTGGCTGTGATCCAGAACTCGACACACAGATGTGTGGTGGCTGAATTTGGCCCCAGACTACAGTTTGCTGACTTCTGTCCTAGAAAGATGACCAGGTAGACGTTGTGTGGAGGATCCTGTGGTCCAGACCCGGACTCGTGTGAGACTAGTGAGACCTGGTCTTTGGTCACAAAATTTAAGAAGTATCAAACTCATCATTCAACATAATATTTTCATGTAATACTTTCAAAAATTAAAGTTGATGTGGAAAAAGCCACAATGAACAAACCATCAAATAGGGTCAGGATGAAGATGGGTTGTGTGCTCTGCTGTGGCCTAGTAATTGCCAGCCTGGGTTAGCTGCTACCTGGGGGTGGGGGCGGGGAGAGAGCAAGGGGTAGAAGTGAAGACAACTCCACAAAGTCTGAAAGGCACATGCTCCTCTTGGGAGAGAGGGGTGCTGTAAGCAGAAGCAAGGCGGAGGGGTGCTGCTGACTTGTCTTCATGCCTGGGCTTTGTTGCAAGGGTGGTAATGATATGAAGAGCTGTTTTTCACTGAACACCAATTATATTATGGCTAACAGCATTTATTGGATCTCATTTTCTCTGTATAACAGCCCTTAGAGGTAGATACTATGATGGCCATTGTACAGATGAGGAAAATAAAGGACAAGGTAAGGCACCCACCCAAGTCACACAATGCCTCAGTTAGAATCTGAGCCCTGGCGTTTATCTTCCTTGTAGTCTCTAGGGATTGACAAGGAAAGCTGAGGCCTGCTGGGAGCTGGCAGACTGTGCTGCCTGTCATTGTCTATTAACAAGTACCCCAGGAAGCTCGCCATGCTATCCCCTTACCTCCTGGCTCTCGTTCTTGTTGGCATTTGGCTTTCAGGTGTTCTGAGAGCCAGAAGCCCTTGCACACTTTTGGAATGTATCCCACATTTCAAAGCAGATCAGTACATATTCCCAAATTAAATTATGGACACACAGCCTGCTTTAAATGGCAGGTGAGCTGCACTTTAAATAGACCACATTAATTCTGGCAGTGGAAGCGGAACCCTACTGTGATGATTCCTGCAGTCAGTGTTGCTCTGACAAGCTTTGAAAGGGTTCTGTGGCAGTAAGCAATTTACAAAATTGAAAGGAGAAAACACACGGTAAAGGGTTCCTGAGCATTCAAGGTCAAAGGGAGGCGATTGCATTTCTTGAGGAAGTCTGAGTGCAGGTGAGAGTCACTTGATCCACAGCGTGATGGAATTACAGGTGGCTGGCTGAGCATTTGGAAACACATTATTGGACTGCTGGCCTCGGGCACTGCTCTCCCACATGCCCTGTCCTGGGTTCTGAGAGTGGAAAAAATACCATCTTGTACATTGTGGTTTGGACTGATCTGATGAGTTTGGGAAGGGGGTGAGTTGGACATGTGACGACTGAGAGGGGACTGTCCCGAGCCAGTTGCCCATCAGTTTTGTTATCTTGGGGATCCCTGAGGGCCGCTTGGTCCATACGTATTTGTATCCTAAAAGGAGAGTTTGAAGCCTCGTTCTCCAAGGGGTCTGGGCTGTTGAGCATGAGCTGGATGTTGGAGCTGGCAGCAGAGGCTCGGCTTTTCCTTCTGTGGATTAGGCAGCTGTGAACATGCTCACTTTGGAGAAGGTGGAGTGCCCCCATTGCAAAAGGCAAAATGCTGTTTGGGGTTTGCAGTTAGCTGGCATGGTATGGCTTAACGGGCACTAGGAGCTATGTATCCCTGGGCACGTTCTTCACTGGTCCAGGCCTGGGACCTTGTCTTTGTGGAGATGGCCTTGGTGGTTAAGAGGTCAGATGGCAGTGTTTGGTATGGTGGCTGGTACATAGTTGGTGCTCAGTGAATAAATAGTACCTGTTGCCACCCTTGCTATTGGCAGCATGAAAAAGTGTTGACGAGCCAATTATTAAGAAAGTTGATAAATGAGGTATACATGAGGAGATCATAAATGAGGTATATATGAGGAGATCATAAATGAGGTATACATGAGATCATAAATGAGGTATACATGAGATCATAAATGAGGTATACATGAGGAGATCATAAATGAGGTATACATGAGGAGATCATAAATGAGGTATACATGAGGAGATCATAAATGAGGT